TCCTGCTCCTGGCAGAGCCCTGCCCAGCTGTCGCCGCAGAGCCGGGCCACCCCAGCAGGTGTGGGGTTTCCTCATGAGAATTCACTCCGATTTCAGCAAGGGCGTTCTCAGAAACCCTGCCTTGGGCATCCCCGCACCCACCCATAGGCGGCGGGGGCTGAGGGAGGGACACGCAGACTGGGGCTCCCTGCTCCCGCCTGAGCCCCGCCTCCGCTCCCCAGCCTCACCGTGAGGCATGCACATCTCAGCAGGGGCTGGAAATAGAAGCCACTGCTCACTGCTGGGGAGATAAGGGGCGTCCAGGCCTCCCTCTGACAACCTGTGAGGGAAGGAGGGTGACAGGCCGGGGTGTCGTGGGACGGCTCAGCACCCCGGCCCACTCCGACCTGCAGCCCTGCCCCCACCGCCCCCGCTGCCCAGGATGCAGACCAGAAGGTGACCTTGAGAGCTTCCCCGGGGGGAGGGGGAGGCTCTGCCCAGGCCCTGCCCTCCGGCCCCCCAGCCCCCTTCCCTCCTGAGGCTCAGGGCTTCCTCCCTGCCTGTCCCTGGTCCCTGTCACCCTCAGTGGCCTCAGGTGGACGCTGTTGCTCTGTGTCCATTGGTCAGTGACCCTGCCCACCAGGTCCAGAATAGCCCTGGGGCACGAGGGAGCCTGGGGCCTGGGGCCTGGGGCTGTGGCTGGGGGCAGGGCACTCCCGCGCTCTCCAGGGCACCTGGCCAGGCCCGGATGCCATTCCTTGGACCCACCCCGTTCTCTCTCCAGGCAGGGCTGGGCCCGGGACCTCCCCCCAGACACCTGTGCGGGCCAGGCCGCCTCCACAGCGGTCAGTCCTGCCACTGTCAGAGGTGGAGTGGCAGGAGGGAGGCAGCCTGGCCGGGGCTCCCAAGTGGAGAGGGCATTGTAACTGCCACTTGGTGGGCACCGGGCCATGAATTAAATTATTCAGGGACACCTGAACCGGCCCGAGCAAGGAGCAGGCTGAGAATGAGTGACCGGGGCGAGCCCCACAGCTGGCCACCCCGTCCAGGAAGGGAGCCCCAGGCCTCCTCCGCCTCCGC